TATGAGTGAGTGGCTGTAATATAGGCACTTAACCACTGCGCCACTAGGGCTCCTCTAATAATACTTTAATTGGAGAATTCTGCCTCTGCATCAATTCTTAGATCCACCGGACACTTGATATATAAGTGGGAGACAGTCTTGCAGGGTCCTTGTAGCTGATCCCCTCTCGAATTGAGCTAAATAAAATTCCCCTTCATAGACTTTTGACTACAGGCTGCAGATATCTTTTCCATCAGCAAAATGTCCCAAACCCAACACCCCACCATTCTTCTAATAAGACTTTTTCTGTCTTCCAGTTTTTAGTTGTAGCAATTAGGAAACAGATTATAGTGATTTATGCTGTAAAAAAAATCCTTGTTCTTACCGATTAATATTGAGAGCAATACCAATGCGGGGCACAGCACCGTGCTTTGCTTTGTAATGCCCAAAACTACAGCAGTAACAACTATCCAAAATTGGTGCACCTTAGTACAATTGATTGGTTAAGATGCCAATTCGAGATGGTTGGAAGATTGGACGATTGGCAGTTTGAGGCCCAGGTGCTGCATGATGGGGTGAGCTCCTGTCACTATCCCAGCTTCTGGGATACCTTTACCTTTTACCTTTAGTACAATTGGACCACATAGGTATGTATGGTTTCATCTGCATTGTTGAAATAATCAAGTTTGACACCACTTTAGCTGCCATGACTCAATGCTATGGGATTCTGGGAACTGCAAAGCATAGATCCATGACACTGCAGATGCACCCCAGGTCCCTGTACCATTCCAGCCTCTCCAGCATTCAACAGATGTTCCAAGAGAGGCTGGATGGCCATCTGTCGGAGATGCTTTGATTGGGAGTTTCTGCGTGGCAGGGGGTTGGACTGAATGGCCCTTGGAGTCTCTTCCAGTTCTATGATTCTATACCCTTTGCAACCCTTGCCTTTTCCTCACCTTGCCCTCTGCCTTTTTACCATCCTTCTTTGAACTTTAGAAAACTTAACAGCCCTCTTCTGTTTTCCCCCCTCCTTTCTCCCTTTTTTTGTTTTTGTTTTTTTTTTTGTTTTTTTTTTGTTTGTTTTGTTTTTTACGCCAGGGCTGGGAAATTTGTCCTGTTTTCAGGCTGAAATGTAGTGACACTGTTTGGACCTGCATCAATTAGTCGGCCCCAACTCATAGAAACCGTGTGGATGAGACATTTCCAAGTCCCCCTATCCTCTACAG